TAAGGATTACAACAATAAAGGGGATGATTATCCTAATCCTATAATGATTAGGATAACTACAACATATGGATAAATACAAGGAGCTGGATGTGTGGATAATGACAAGCTGCTGGCCGCCTAAGCTTGGGACTGAAGTAGACTGATGTGGTCTGGTCCATTTCCGGATATGTCCCAACCACCATCTTCATTTCTCAACAAATTTTTTTTTAAATTCAAATTTTACACATATTTTTTTTTTAAAAACAACAAGATAAGATTTAAAATAGTTAAAATTAGAACTAGACAACAAATATATTACAAGACTTAATGTGGTATTTTATTTATAGTTTAATATTTAATTATATATTTTTTTGAATAATTTCATATTTTAGTGTAACATTTTATTATTTAATATTGCTGTAATATTTTTCTATATTTGTTAGTTATTTATAAAATTTATATGAATTTGAACTAATTATGACAAATGTAAGGACCATAATATAAAATATAAATAGTTTTAAAGTTAAGTTTGAAATTTTACTTTTGGAACATAACACATACAAACTTCATATATAGAATTTTGAAAATTCTAAAATAGAGTATCTTTTTGGAGTTGCTCTGATGTTTCTGTTGTAACACTGCCACCTGCGTTATTATGTACTAGCATACCCCCTGTGCTTCGCACAGGTAAAGTAATTTCACTGTCATTGAAATTATATGATTGTAAATTTGCAATCTAGTAATGACAAAGAAAACAGAATTATAAATAGGAAGAAGATATAAAATTCTAGAAAATTTGAAAAAAAAATGATGAAATGTTATATAAGAGATGAAACCACTGATATTGGAAGTACTGAATTTTAAAACGTGTGAGGATGATAGCTATAGAAAAAGTAAAGATTTAATTTTTATTATACCAGACGAAGGTATGGCTTGTTTTCTTCAATCTTTCTTCATTGTTAGCAATTTCTCTTCTAGAAACATTTTATTTTACCTCAAGTTTCGTCGATGATTTATCTTCTTTTACGTACATTTTAAAACAGAAACTTTTAAAATAAGATCAACAAAAACAGATGAAAAAATAAATCTATAGATGGAATCGATTATTCAGATTATCCCATCACTGTAGTAATAAAAAGAGAAACACTTACTTCTTCCTGCTGATATGGTTCCTGATTTTGATACTTCAATAACAAATTAAAAACTTCTTGGTTACAGATAAAAAGTGGAGAAGAAACCCAGCACATTTGAAATTATATAGAAGATGAAGAAACAGTTTGATAATAAAAAGCTATGTGGGATTTAAATTCAGAGAAAATTTAGGTAGTTGAGTTTTTTTTGGATTGCATAAAAATAGGAGATATAGAAAGAACAATTTATTTGACAAAAAAAAAGAACAGTTTAATTATTTTTATTTTAAAATTATTTTGTACACAATTTCCACGTGTCAGTATTTGATTCGTTAGACGACTTGTGTTTTAGTATATAAGAGATTGGATTTCTTATTACGGTTATCGCTGGTGTGTCAAATAGTTGTAGTTTTCTGTTTTTTTTCTGTTGCTAATATATATTCTCAATTCTATACTGTTTTTTTTTTCTAATGCAACTTCTGTATATTTCACTTCCTTCTAGTATAATTATTTTACGCTTTCTTTAAAATTGTACAAATTATTTGTATTATATTTTCTATAGAATAAATTATTTTTTTCTCCACACGAAAATCTCATACTAACGTACGGTTTATGAAAGCCCTTTTTCAAAAAAAAAAAAAACGTACGGTTTATGAATCTTGTATACAATGTGTTATGAATTTTTTGTAGTACAATGTTTTCAATACATTAACCAATTTTCGACATTGCCTCCGAAAAATCTTTATTTTTTTCAATTTCTGTCAAAATAAAATCCCCCCGCCCCCAAGAAAAAACAAAAGAATGTACGATAAAATAAGCGGTAAAGGAGCATATGCATATGGCCAGATATACATCTTTTAAAAATTCTCAATCAATTTACAGATGTACATCTTTAATTATTAAGACGGTCGAATTCAACTTAAAAGATTATCGTATCTTGATTGAGAAATTAATAATTAAGACAGTCCTAGAAGCGAATTATATTTAATTTTAACAAAATTATACGATGAAGTTAGGAACCACGTCTCGATCCGTCTGTCTGACTGGTGGGAATTTTAGAAAAGGAAAAAAAAAGAAGTTAAGACTTTGAATTTAAAGAGATTGCATATAAGTAAAGAATTCTAGTGTTAAGCAAACTTAATTAAGCCTTATTTTATAAAAAAGTTCAAAACAACACTCATTGTGAACCAACCAATGGCACTAAAATGTCCCTTGAATCGTCGTGGTGATTCTAGGACACACGAAGTTCGTCGGGAATATTCACGACCACCTTTTACCTGCAAGGTGTGCAAAGAAGCGACCACGCAAACTTCGGATTCGTACAAATGTTACACTTGCGAGAAAGAGATCCACCTTGGTTGTCTCAGATTTAAACGTGCGATTGAAAACCACCCTTATCATCCCTCGCACCTTCTCAAGCTCAAAATTACCAATTCCAAGTCTCTGATACCCGAGGAATGGTCAGACGACGAAGTGGTCTCTACCCCTGATGATAGCAATCGTGGAGGATGCAAATGCTGCCGGAGAAAACTTCAAGACAGGTACTATCATTGTGATGATTGCAAGTTCAATATAAACGCCACTTGTGCGTTGAATCAACCGCCTCTCACTATCGTCCCGAAGAAGAGCCATGACCATATGGATAGTTTCACTCTCTTTCCTAGACGTCTCGCACTGCCTTGCGATGCTTGTGGCTTGTTACTCGACAAAGGTAATGATCATGTCTATACTTGTCTCGCAAGCAACTACATAGCTCATAGAAAATGTATCGAGGAGTTACCCAGTGTCATTGAGATCACCCGACACATTCACCGTCTCAAGCACAAACCGTCTCTTTTCTCCCCGGACGTTGATCCTGCTGATGAATTCTGTTGTGGAGTTTGCCGCAAACCTGTCAATGTCAACTACGGGCAGTACTCTTGCACTAAGGGTTGCCACTATGCTGTCCATTCTAAATGTGCAACGAGGAGCGATGTGTGGGATCTGGAAGAACTCTACGGAGTCCCCGAAGAACCTGAAAGTGAAACACAGGGAGGTGTCGAGCTGTTCCAGTGGATTGATGATGAGACAATTCTACATTGTAATCATAAGCATCATTATCTGAAGTATTCTGGAGAAAACAATGATGTATCCGATGGAAACAACTTCTGCCAAGCTTGTCTCCTTCTAATAGTGGACTCTGATAGTGTGTATAGCTGTATGGAATGCAAATTTGTTCTCCACAAAGCATGTGCGATACTTCCTCCCAAGATACCTCATCCGCTGCACAAACACAAACTCACACTCCTTCCACTTCCTACTAATCTCTTTTTGATCCAGTTCAAGGTATTTGTGGAAGGAATGTTCAAGTGCAGTGGTTGTCACCAAATAGGATGTGGGTTCATGTACCGTTGCGACAGAGAGGGTTGTAAATTTCAACTAGACGTGAGGTGCGCTTCTCTTAAAGACTCATTTATCCATGGAAGCCATGACCACTTTCTCTTCTTAAGTTTGAACAAAGGTAAATGCATGAGGTGTGGCACCAACCAATGTTCACCTTTTTACCTAGAGTGTACTAAATGCGCTAATTGGTTTTTGGGTCTTAAGTGTGCTATGTTACCAAGTGTTGCCCACTACAAATTTGATAAGCATCCGCTTACCCTTTGCTACGGAGAAAAAGTTGTTCGTCAGTACTGGTGTGAGCTATGTGAAACAACATTACATTCAAGTGAATGGTTCTATACATGTGACATTTGCGGAGTCACTCTTCATGTTACTTGTTTGCTGGGGAAAGAGGTATACTTGAAGCCCGACCATACCATCAAAATAAATGATAAAAAGGTCGACATTGTGCGCAACAGTTTTAACCCGCGGCCATTTTGCGGTATTTGTACCGATCGTTGTGTGGATACATTGGTATTATCCATACAAGATTCAAATAAATATTGTTGTACTTTGAAATGTACGCAAAAATTATTGGACAGAGAGAGACGAGGAAAAAAAAGCATAACAGAAGAGTAAGAAATCTACGGTGAACTTTTGTGTGTTGTTAGCTCGTTATGAATTTATCTGTCTTTGTTAGAGTTAAAGAATAATCTTTTATTTTATCTTTGTTTTATTAAGACGCCTATTTCTGTTGTTTAAAAATACTATTGTTTGTTATCCGGGAAAACGGCTATATGATGATGATATGTTCAATCTTTACTAGATTTACTAGGATAAGATCTGCGCTTTGCGCGGGATGAAACTATTATTTTTATTATGTTTTTAAAAATGAAACAATAGTTCGGTTTCATTCGGATTAGAGGTGTTCAATCCGGATATCGGGTTTCGGTTCGGCTCGATTTTTTGGTATTCCGATCATTAAAATATAACTACTATTCTAAATCTATATGTACTTCAGTTTGATTTGGTTTATATACCATCGGTTTTCAGTTTATTCAATTTTATACCAAAAACATAATTATTTAGTTTGAGATCATATTATATATTATACAAATATATAATATGATCACATTTAGAGTCATATTGTCACAGAGTCATTTATTAAAAAAATATTATATATTTAAATAAAAGAATAAAAAACAAAAAAGGCTTCTATCATCTAATAAAATGATCAAATCTAGAATTAATATCAAAACACTAAATTTTGAAAATAAAAATAAAAAACAAAACAGAAGCATGAAAGAAAAGTTTTTATATTCTTCCATATTTAGTGTTCATCAAACCAATAT